TAACACAGGCATAACAAGTGATGGTTTACGGTGTATTATCATTATTTAGTAGAGAAATTTAGGGTTGAGACAAAGAAACACAATCTATTTTTGTAAAGGAAGTGGTTGAGAGTGACCAAAACACTTGTTCTGGCATGAGCCAAAAGATGACTAAGAGTGGTCGAAAGGAAATGGGTCTCCAAAGAAACGAGCTTTAGTGTTTAGGGAATAGTATAGGTTTAGAGATTTAAGGTAGAAGCAGAAGTTTTATCTTTGTGTAGGAAATTAAGAACAGGTCCATTGGAGGTTCTGGATTGGGGGCTCTAGACAACTTTTGGGGCCAAAAATAAATGAAAAATTAAAAACAAGCCTAGAACTGGTTATGAAAACAGAACTTTGAGAATTCTTCAGAACCCCATACCTGGGTCTCTGATCGGTTGTATTTATGAAATTAAAAAAAAAATTAACACCGACGAAGATACTTTGTCGGTTTCATTCTCATTCGACCTCTCTCTCTCTCTCAGGCGATGCGTCGCCGATTCCGGCGATTCTGCCGTTAAACCACACGAGGCTGGTCTCGCTTCTCTCTTTCTCTCATAGCCGATTTTGGCGATTCCGACTTCTCTCGCTCTTAAACCCTTCGACTCTTCTCCTTCCTTCTCCTCTAATCGGATTTCCGATCAAATCGCTTCGATCGTCTCTCTCAACAGCTTATGTTTCTCCGGCGGATACATCGTTCTCCGATATAGGGTTAGTGTTTGCATGTTCTCCGATATAGTGTTAGCGATGATATTGATTGAGTTTTTGTAGTGATCGTCAATTGATTTTGCATGTTTGATCTTTGATTTGCTCTGAAATGGTTTTCGGTTCAGGTCTCAATACACATATCTAAGCTTTTGTTTGGTTCTTGTGCAGATCAGAGAAGCTTTATAAGATCATCGTTTTTGCCGGATTTGAGTGATCAGGATGTTATGAATGTAGCAATTGGTGTGGTTTCGTTGTCCGTTCTTGCTTCTCTTGGTGCCTTTATAAGTTACAGAAGGTTTTCAAGGAAAAGAAAGGGTATTTGTCACTAAAGTATCTTAGACCAGGAAGCTATGAATATGAGGTTGCTTGTTTGACCAGGAAGCTATGAAACTATTTCGTTGTTTGATTTGGTGAATTTGTTAGCTCATTATATGAATGGATTAGATTGCTCTGTTTGAATCATGAGTGAACTGAGATTTAGTTTCTGGAATCAATCACAAACTTTAGAATCTGAAATATCAAGTTAGTGTTTGTATATGAACTTTGAAACTCATTTGCTTATTTGTAAAGAATGAATCAAAAACTCATTTGCATCTAGATCATTTGTGTAAATCTCACTTATATCGTTTTAATCACACTTGTCTAAATCATCACAACTAACAGAGCAACAGAGGCATGAACCATCATGGGAAGCTGCTACGCAGCGGTTTATAAAAGCCTTTGATCTAAACCGGTTATCAAGAGCTGATTCAAACTTATCAAAGAAAAGTGGCTTTGCGTCTTCGTCTATTAGCGTAGGAAAAAACGTGGAAGATATGTCTGCGTATATCCATTTTTTGGCGTCTGGATTTGAAGGTTCAAGAACAGCTTTTGGTGCAATCCCTGGAAGCTTGCAGCCATATGAAGAGTGTGTAGAGATCTTGGCTTGACTCTCAAGACTCCTTCCCGGAAAAGTCTCAAGGAAGATTGACGCTTTACTCTTATCAACATGTGTGTGAATGATCATGTGTGTTTTTTGTCTTGCGATTCATGGGTTTTTCTTCTTCTGTATAATCAAATGTACTATTTGAATCATTTTATAGCTTGGTGTAACGTTTATGGTTTATATTAACACTAGAATAGGACCCGTGTATTAACGCGGGTGGATACAATAAAACTAAATGAAATAAAAAAATTTAATTTTAATTAATAACTCGTTGAATTTTAAAGTATTATTTAACGTAGATTCTACCACCAGTAGAAGTCACTTTATATCATAATTCTCATATTTTAATTCATATCATGCAAATCTAAAAATAATCGAAATTTGCATCATATGCGATTATTTTTAATAAGACAAAAGTATATATTTTTAATTATATTTTTTTTAAAATACGCAGAAATATATACATTAAAACTATATATATTCGGAATTTAAAACATATTATTAATAACACAAAATATGTATTTTAACTCACTATGAATATTTACAAATTTTGTGATAAAAATAAAAATAATTAAAAAATTATATTGTTAAATCAGAAAAAGTAAAATTTATGTTAGTTACCTCATAAAAACTACAAATAATGTCATGAACCATTACATAAGTATATGATTGATAATTGTATTTTATTAATGTCATCGTTTTATTTCTCAGAAAAATTTATACTCGCCAAACTTTATACAGTATTAACTTCATAGTAAATATAATATTATTATTTTTTAACTTACATAATTTTCTATATATACACTTGAAGAGTACCAATGGCGTCATAAGTGAAAAAAATCCATTTTCTTTGTGATATTCTATAACTCTATTTTGATAAAATAAGTTTTATAGATTCTTTTTATTAATTTATTTTTGCATGGTTGTGTATATTTAAAAAAATTTAAATTGAGGTTTCTACAACCTTTATAACTTTTGTATTTGTATTTTATATATCTTTTTTATCATTGGTTTTTTTAATTATATACTATCATTTTATTCTGTATGTATTATTATGTTTCTTTTATGGCTTATGTAATGTTTATATTTCATCTTAATTTTTTTTCTTAATTAGTATGGATAGTATTAGAAATTTTACTTTTTATTATTTGATTACTAACTTGACAATTATTTTCCATTTTAAATCTTATTTTTCTTAATTAATTTTAATTTTTAACATATTAATCATCTGATCAATCTTATTATTAGATACATGTCTTGATCTCGTGAGTTATAATTTTGCTTACGTGTCATGCTTAAACACATTTCACAATTTAAAAATTAAAAATTTTGTTATTATTGACACATGTCATGCTAATTATATGTGTCGCGATCTGGTGAGTTACAATTTTGCTTATGTGTCAAGTTCTCATCGTGCGCATTCTCCTTTATATAATAAGATATGGTGTAATTTTAAAAATAACTTTTGTTTTTCTTAAGAACCACAAAAGGGTTGTAACCAATGGAGAGAATTTTTTTAAAAAAGAATTATGGAGTTCTAAACTAAATTTGTGTTAGTTTAATATTATAAAATTGTTAAGAACTCCTTTAGAAGTTGTGACCAATGTACATGTTCTAATAGGGTATTTATAGAGTTTTACCTGTTTTGGGAGGATATCGGGCTCCACCTATATAAGCGGATCAAGTCCGGATCTACTTATTCGCCCCCGTATAATATATTCGAATGATTTTTACCTACCATATTTGTCATCATTTGCCAGTTGTCTTACAATAGGCGTGGGAGGAATGCTTACACCAATTTTTCAATGAAGTTGGTGTTGACCTTAACGAGTACACACTGCTCTACGTGACCAACCACATGGACCTTTCTTAATGAGTCACGATAAGGAACCTCATAGGCACCAGGACCAAAGCAATTCATGTAGCGTTTCCCGTCTCTTTTGCAACAACGGTACACTCGTGTATTGCCTCATCCCGTCAATTCTGGTCACATCGCTACATTTCATGGGTTATTTGCACTCTGGTGCTCCAATTCCACTCAACCCCATTCGGCTCTTGCGTTGGGAAACCACTCCGATATCTACTAGTCCATGATACTCTCCAAAAGCATTGCAAATACCATTAGTTTTTAAAAATTTTGTTGTTATTTTTTTGTTTCTTTAACTTATTTTAACTTATACTAGTGTAGATAAACAATTAATCACAACTAGTATAGATAAGATATCAAATCCACGGATACTTGCCGATAGCATTTTACGAATAATAAAGAATTAAATCATGGTAACAACATAACAAAGCATTAGCGATTATGAATTAAAGTAAACTAGATAATTACTCGCGTTATACGCGAGATAATATGATTAACGAGTAAAATCAACATAATTTTAGTTATAAAAAATCAATTATAGTTATTGGTAAAATTATTATACGGAATCTCGTTTATATATATAAATTCTGCAATTATTTTGTATAGAAACATGTTCCACCCGTGAAATAATTGTCAACAACAATTTTTAACTTCTTAGTCAATATATATCTTTTATTAATAAAAAATATATATATTGAATCTTATAGGTTTAGGGTTATTATAAGAGTAATAATATAGTTTTTAGAATACAAATTTGATTTAATTAATTGGTCATAAAACTAAAGATTTTTTTTTTTTTTTTAAATAGATATTCATTTTTGTTTAGTTCTAATGGTAAGAACTAAATTTACAATTTTTGATTAACTGTTTTAGGCAAGTTATAAGTATTATAATGTGTTTGGCAATTGGAATTAGAGTAAATTTTACAAATTACTATAGTTGTTGGGAAATTTTATATATGGTTCGTTTATATATATAAAATTTGCAATTATTTTGTATAGAAATATGTTCCACTTGTAAAATAATGAGAAATTTCAAAAAATATCACTTTTAAAGTGTCCCTTTACAAAAATACCACATTTTTGAAATCTTTATAAAAATACCACTTTTTCAAAATTATTTTTTCTTTATATTATTTATGTTTGAGTTAATTATATGTTCTATTAGGGTTTAGTTATGTGGGTTTAGGAGGTTTAGGGGTTAAAATATTTTTTAGTG